TAAGGAATTGGAATCCCCAGAATTAATCACATATACTTGACGACATGCCCATACAACTCATTTAAAAAATGTCTGATTACAAATTAAGAGCTTAACTGGACTGTTCCAACAAGTTTAATTCATCAAATATGGATGTCTTCAGAGCCAAGTTTGATGTTTGTCTCACCTTTTGTAGGACTACCTATTGAGAGGATAGTTGTTTCATAAAAGAAGAAAAAGGATTAGGCTTTTCATTCAGAAGGTCATCTTTGCTTGACGTAGTAGAAACCTTGTTTATATAGGAAGACCATGAACTATTTCCTGATATTTAATATCTGCTTAAGTTTCATGTTTAGCCAACATTTTGAAAGATTAGAATCAGGGGAAAAGATTTTGAGAGTGAATATTCTTGTTTTTCTTGGGCTGTAATTAGCTGCAGCAATACTGGTTTTTGAATCACTTAAAATGAAGTTCACCATAAACATCATAAGTTTTTGAAATTAATCTCTTTTCATGGAATGCACTAGCTGGGAACGGCAACGAAAAAAGGCTGCTGGTAACTGGCATCAGTGATTAGAATATGTTATTATGTTGAGCTATTTCTTTTAGTTCTAGTTACTTTTTAGTGCAAAGAATGAGGCATTTAATATCTTTCCTAGGATATTGGTAAGTCATTGATTGTTCTATTGCCTCTAGGCATTGAGCTGGTCCTTGGAACTCGTGTAAAATCAGCTGATGTGAGACGGAAGACATTGTTGACTGCAACTGGTGAAACCATAACCTACAAGATTCTCATAGTGGCAACTGGTGCTCGGGTATCTAATTTATCTTTGGACTCTTCTGCTGTAGCACCATATTTTGTTACATTTTTTATGCATCAAGACATTAGAGTAGTGTCCTCTTCTGATGGATTGAATAAGCTGGGGCGAATGCAACTTCAAGTTACTGGGTTCGGATCCAGTACTTTTGACGCGGAACATAAAGTTATTTGCAACAAATTGTAGATGTGAACCCATAACTTCAAAAATATAATGAGTTCAATGCTAAGAACCCTTAGGGTTCTACCTTTAAGGTTCTTAGCAAAAAACAACATACCCAATGTAATTTTATAAGTAGGGTCTGTGGAGGGTAAAGTGTACACAAATCTTACCCTTGCCTCTTTATCTTTACAAGGTAGGGATAGGGGTAAAGTATGCGTACAACCTACCCTCCCCAGACCCCACTTGTGGGATTACAGTGGGTATATTGCTGTTTGTTGAGAACCTTAAAGGTACAGCCCATCCTGGATCCGCCTCTGTTAATAAGGTCCAGATACTTGCTTTAAGTGATTTCCCAGAGAAGTCAGTGGATACTGAAATAGAATTCTGCTGTACCAGCTAAGAAAGAAAATGAAAATTCTGTTGTTTCACAATACCTTAGCTTCTTCATAATATTGTGCATGTGATTTTTATAGTTAGTTTATATCAGTGAATATATTACTTGGTTTCTCTCCATAGGGACCGTGAAAATAATGTTAAGAATTAGTTTATCTCAAAAAAATAAAATGTTAAGAACTAGTAGCATAAAAATTGCCAATACAATCATTTTGATATGTATCCTGCAGAAACTAGGTGTCAAACTTGTTAGCATAGATGTTAGGCTTCATGGACATTCAGATGAGTAGAGTTCATTTAGTTCAGTATTGGAAGTTTGAAACAGAATTGGATTAATGAGTGTGCCTCTGAGGGTTCATGCCGAAGGCTTTATTTGGTATGGACAAAGTTAAATCTCAAAGACCAAGCTCCCTAGTGGGCAATGAAATTAGAAATTTATAAAGGCTTTGACTTTTGGTTGGCATGTTTTGTTAGGCTTTGAAGCTTGAAGAGTTTGGAGTGAGTGGCTCAGATGCTGAGAGTGTATGTTATTTACGAGATTTGGCTGATGCAAACAGGCTGGTTAATGTGATGCAATCCAGCGGTGGTGGCAATGCTGTTGTAATTGGTGGTGGCTACATAGGAATGGAATGTGCTGCTTCTTTGGTTATCGGCAAAATAAATGTCACCATGGTCTTTCCAGAAGCACACTGTAGTAAGTATTCTTTTGTAATGATGGAAAACTTCCGTTTCTTTTTTTGACTTGAGTTTCTTTAGGTTGCTTGTAAATTATATTCTTTTGTGAAGTTGGAGAACTTTCTTTTCTGTTTCTTACTCGAGTTTCTTTAGATTGCTTGTAAATTATATCAAAAGTAAAAACTGTGTTTTCCCCTCTCTGGAGAATAATGCATTAGGATAACTTTAGTAGTTGCATTTCCTCCAGAAAATACAAAAAGCTATCTGAAATCTAGCACATGCCTTACTCTCCAAACCATGCTATTAGTAGAGAAAAACAGTGATCACAGTAATCAACAAATGCTTTAAAGATATGAAAATTGATTAGAATGGGGGACTTCCGCCCACATATTTCCTCGAAACATGAAATCAGAAATTGAAAGCTTATGTATGAGAAAAACTAATTTGTTTCTTAATTCTTAAAACCCAAAGTCCAAGAGTTAGTTACAGTTATAAACCATAAATGTACTAATCTATCTTAAGTTCATCAGAAGACTAACCTGTTGTTTTTTCTAATGTTTATATAAAGCATTTAATTTTCTTTCCTTTTCTTTTGTTGTTAGTGGCCCGCCTATTTACTGCTAAAATTGCAAGTTTCTACGAAGAATTTTACCGGTCAAAAGGAGTTAAGTTTGTGAAAGGAACGGTATTGACATCATTTGATTTTGACTCCAATGATAAGGTAAAGCCTGTTGCTTGCTTCACTTAGGCGGCGTTTGCTTGATAGCTTTTCGCAGAAGTGTTCATTTGAACTGCTTTTTCATTTACCTCTTTTTGAACATTTCCAACCTCAATTTGACTAGTTACTTTGTTAGTGCAAACTCAGTTTATTAGTTTCTGAAAAAAGCTTCTTCTTTTTTAAAATCCTTTTCTGTTTGAATAAGAAAAGGTTTACTTTTACTAAAGAGTGAAGATTTTTGAACTCCGTTTAACAAGTCACTTTGTTAAGCTGGAACTAACATTAATCAACTGTTGCATTTCACAATTTTACACATCACTGAAGTCATACTGGACATGATGCTTGAATGCGGGGACTTTTTATGTAGATGACTGCAGTGAATCTGAGAGATGGAACCAAACTACCTGCCGACATGGTCATAGTAGGCATTGGAATTAGACCAAATACCAGCCTCTTTGAAGGGCAGCTTACTCTTGAGAAAGGAGGGATAAAAGTCAATGGCCAAATGCAGTCAAGCAACAGCTCAGTCTATGCTGTTGGGGATGTTGCAACTTTTCCTGTTAAAATTTTCAGTGAAACACGGAGACTTGAACACGTTGATTCTGCAAGGAAGTCAGCAAGGCATGCAGTTGCTGCAATCATGGAACCAGAGAAAACAACGGAGTTTGACTACTTGCCATTCTTCTACTCCAGAGTCTTCACACTCTCTTGGCAGTTCTATGGTGACAGTACTGGTGATGTAGTCCATTTTGGGGATTTCTTGGGGAATAGCTTTGGTGCATACTGGGTGAACAAAGGTCACGTCGTTGGGTCTTTTCTAGAGGGTGGAACCAAAGAGGAGTATGCGGCTATTGCAAAGATCACAAGGCTCAAACCATCAATTGAGGACTTGTCTGATCTCGAAACACAGGGTTTAGGATTTGCATTGACATTGAGTGATAAACCAGAGCCATCGGAGGCTGTTGTTGTCGGCAGTGGTTCGGGTTCCACTCTTGCAACAGAGAAACCTTTACATGTTTGGCATGCAACAGCTGGAGTCATTTTGGCTGCTTCAATTGCTGCCTTTGCATACTGGTATGGTAGGAGGCGTAGAAGGTGGTAAATGTTTTGTCCAAGAAGCATTTCCCCACGGAAGAATACACGTCGATTCCTGCTGTGTTGTATGATTTTAGCATAGAGAATTTGAAATACTTGGCCTGAAAATGGCTGCAATCTTACAAACATGTATTCTGTCTTTACAGTATATATCAATACACATTATCCTCAATTCCTCAACATGCTCTCTTTATGTTCAGATTGCTTATGTTTTGACACTAGTACATATTAATAGGAGGAAAATACAACTTTAAAACGACTAGGAAGAAAATCAATGCTATTGGTAGATGCTCTTGAAGAATTGGAGCCTAGGAAAAAATAGTTCTGTGAGATATCTGAGATTATAATCCTGAATCCATCAAGTAAACGACTCCAAAATGGTACATTCACCAGTTTAATTTAAGCATAATACATAAATGTGTTATTTAACTTGGTTTTAGCAGACATCTATGCTTTTCAACTTTGGATGCACACAAATAGATATTTGAACTTGTATAAAGTTGAACAACTAGACATATATGTCTGACATGTTGTTCTACGTGACAATTCATGTCTTACGTGTATTATACACGTAGAACACATGTGTCTACTTGTTTAACTTTATACGAGTTTGAGTGTCTACTTGTGCATACCTAAAGTTGAAGGACGTAAATGTCTACTACAACTAAGTTAAATGACATATTCAGATATTATCCCTTTAATTTCATAATGTTTTAGACTTTAAAGTACACGAATTCCAAAGCAGGGCATTTGGTCTAGTGGTATGATTCTCGCTTTGGGTGCGAGAGGTCCCGAGTTCGATTCTCGGAATGCCCCCGCTCTTTTTTCATGAATAATTTTTTTTTTCTTGCGTTAGAAAAAATAGAAATAAATTGTAGTAACTGGTTTACATATCTGAGTTTTTTTTTTTTTTAGAATTGTTTTGTTCTCAATTATTAGTATTGTATATTGCATTTTTATTTAATCGACATTTTAAAATCAGTATTAGTAAGGTTTATATAATCTAAAATAGTATTATTAGCGATATCAGAATTCAGAATCCAAAATATAGATTTAATTCCTTTTTTGAAAGATTATCATTTTCTCTTGTATATTTATTCAATAAATAATAAATTAACCAAAAGGGAGAAAAAAAAACAGGGAACTATATATGACCTTATCAACACAATTTTTCAATCCCCTTATCCTATTTTTTCTATCTCCCTCTTTCACTCTCTTCTCCCCTCCTCAATTTCTCTTTAGCTCTGCTACAATGGCTTCCACATTATCCACAATTGCCCTTCGTTCTCCCTCTCCTCTTTCTCAATCAACCGTAAGCTCCACGCACGCTTCAATTTCATTCCCTACCAAAACCCTAGAACTCCCCATTCGCACTCCCAAACTCCACCACCGCCGAGCCACTTTCGTCCGCCCTCTCGCCGCCGTCGAAGCACCGGAGAAGGTAGTCCAGCTCGGAGATGAAATCTCCAACTTAACCCTCGCCGATGCCCAGAAACTCGTAGAGTACCTTCAGGATAAGCTTGGAGTTTCAGCCGCATCCTTCGCTCCCGCTGCCGTCGTCGCTGCCCCTGGTGGCGCAGCCGCAGATGCTCCACCTGTGGTTGAGGAGAAGACGGAATTTGATGTAGTCATCGATGAAGTACCGAGTAATGCTAGAATTGCGACTATTAAGGCTGTTAGGGCTTTAACAAGTTTGGCTTTGAAAGAGGCGAAGGAATTGATTGAAGGATTGCCTAAGAAATTTAAGGAGGGTGTTTCCAAGGATGAGGCTGAAGATGCTAAGAAACAGCTTGAAGAAGCTGGTGCTAAAGTTTCTATTGCTTAAATAAATTTGTGGTAAATGTTCAATCTTATTTGTATTTTCGCAAGAGAATTCAGTTGTTAGATATACTTGTACCCAATTTTCTAAAATCAAGTTTATTCAGCCCTCTTTGCTTATGGTTCTGCATCATTTGTGAGATTGTTCCAGTTTTTGATTGTTTGTGTTTCTGGTGCCTACTATCCAACTCAAATGCTCCCACAAATCCTAATTTGGGGTGTGTGGATCCTTGAAGGTCCGACTTTCGTCACGGCAGGCTTATACCATTATGCTCACGAGCAGAATCTTAAGCTTGAACCTAACCTGGCACACCAGTGTTGAATGTTAATCATGATTACTATTTTGTTGAACCTATGCTTGAATTTGGTTCCAATCTCAAGAATATGCAACTCCACTATATTATACTAGGAGTTAAATTGTCTCATTTTGGTTACTGGTTGTGAAAATAAGCTGATTCGGTGAAATGCAATCAATTGTCTATATTGCAAAGATCACAATGCTCAAACCAGCAATTGAGGGCTTGGATTTTGCATTGACATTGAGTCGTAAATCACAGTCACCAGAGGCTGTTGTTGTCAGCAGTGGTTCAGCTTCCAGTCTTGTACATGTGTGGCTGCATCAATTGACGCCTTTGCATACTATATTGTTCAAGAAGCATTTCCCATGTAAGATCTTTACACGTCTTTTCTAGCTGTGATATATGATTTTGGCTTAGTTAATTCGGAATACTTAGCCTGAAAATGGATTTCCCCGTCTTACAAATATGTGTCGTCTTTAGTCTACATGTCAGGCATTTTGAATGATACATCTCATACTTAAAAGGTAAATTCTAGTTTGAAGTGAATAGCACTTAAATGTGTTGGAACTAATTTGGCCACAAATATATTTGGAAAAGAACTTGGGAAACTTAACCCAAAAATGACATATTTGGGAATTTTTAGCCAAACGCTAGCTATGTGAATAGCAATATCATCTGCAAATAGAAGATTTTAAATTCCATTTCCTTTTCTCTACTAAAAAATAACGGGTGGACTAACTTTGGTAAAAGACTAAAGATGAGAAAAGGGTCAAATGCCCCTCAAGCTTTAGCCATATTTCCAACTATACACTTAACCTTTGCGGGGGTCCTATTACCCCCTGAACCTTTTTTTTCTAATATTAGTTCACCCTCAGACGCTGATGTGTCCACATACGTGAACTCACCTCCGTGAGGCGTGTAAGAACGTAATAAAATGTCCATGTGGAGTCCAAATAAGCCTCCCAACAGTAAATTTACTCTTTATTTAACCATACATTTATTTTTTATTCTTTTCCCAATTCATTTATCTCCATCTATTTTGTTCTTGAACAAAAGCTCTCTTCTTTGTTCTTCATCCACCATTTTCAAAGCTTGAATTTAGTTGTTGTATCTTCTCCAACTAAGATTGAATTTAGGATTTGCAATTTTCTCGAATTTCATATTGAACAATCGAAATCTTCCCCAATTCAATAGCTTGATTTTATTTTTTTCACTTTGTGTTATTAGGGTTAGTAAGTAAAGATTTAACCTTTTCTCAGAAGAAATAGTAAGTAAGCTTTTCGAGCAACGTCAGTAAAGGAAGATCGTAGAGAAAAGGAAGAAGAACTAGAGATTAGATTAGAAAGAAGATCGTAGAGATTAGATTAGGAAGAAGAATGAGGGTCAATTAGGTTCATAAAAGGTAAAGGTAAAGTTTTGTGACACGTGTCAATTTGTGAGTCGTGTAAATTCATGAGGTCCACTAATATATACGTGGACAGCGCGTGTATAGAAACATTTTTTATAAATCTGGTTTATGTGGACACATCAGCGTCTGAGGGTGAACTAATATTTAAAAAAAAAAGGTTCAAGGGGTAATAGAACCCCGCAAAAGTTAAGTGTGTAGTTGGAAATATGGCTAAAGCTTTAGGGGGGATTTGGCCCTTTTCTCACTAAAGATCGTAGTGAGGAGGGGATTAAGGATAGGAATTTATGTCATTTGATCCAACAAGATTGGCTGTGCTTTTCTTGTCTTTTTACATCCTCGTTTCATTAGAAAATCATGAAGGCTTTACACTTTTTATTTGGAAATATATAGAACTATAAGTACACGGATATCGAAGCAGGGCATTTGGTCTAGTGGTATGATTCTCGCTTTGGGTGCGAGAGGTCCCGAGTTCGATTCTCGGAATGCCCCCTTTTTTTGTTTTTTTTGTTCAAAAAAGATACTTCTCCGTTGTCATTTTTGAAAAATTAAGAAATGACAAAAAAAATTCCTACTATACCCTTAATTTATCTGTCCAATAATAGTTGTTCACTATACTGTGGGTAATCTTCTTTCGGCATCTACCAAGCCCACCCGCCCGACTAAAATTAATTGGTCAAATAATATAAAATGGAGAGAGTATTAATTATTAATACTACATTCGTTCACTTTTAATTGTCATGCTGTGTTTTTCGAAAGTTAATTTGACTAATTTTCAAAGTTAAATCAGATTATATTAGTTCGATATTTTTGAATAAAAAATTTAGATATTCAAAAACTATACGAAAAGTACTATAAATAGCAATTTTTTGCATATCAATTTTATATCGTAAAATATTAGTCAAAGTTCTTATAATTTTGACTCTAAAAAAGAAAATTATAACATTTAAAAGTGGACGGAGGAAATATATAATATTTAAAAAGGGTAAATAAGAAAGAAAAAATCTCGCAAATCCATATTCTTGTAGAATTTGTTGGAAGGTTGGATATTGAAAAGAAATTATTACTACTCTCTAAGTTGTGAAAATGAAATAGTAATATTGGTTATTATCTGTTCCTAATTATTTGTTCATTTTTGAATTAATATATCTATTAAGAAAATAATTATTGATATAATGAGTTTATTATTTATTCATTTTAATCCTAATAATTACTATGAAGTAGATGAATTAAAAATTTAAGATTTTTCAAGAAAGTTCTATTTTTTTATAAACTTAATTAATTGAGGATATACTTAGATAATATGTAATTCGGATACATTAAAAACTAATATGTATCTCGGATACATTATAAAATAATTTAGAATCTAAACAAACACTTAGATTTGAATAATGTATTCGAGCTAGTTTTTAATGTATCCGATTTGTTTTACTTTTTCAGGAATTAATGTAATTACAAACTAAATAGGGATAGATTGTATTTCATATTAAAACTATGTGATTCCTAAAATTTATACAAAACCTCTAAAAGCCCTTATTTCTCTCCTAATTCAAAATTATTTTATAAAGTATCCGAGCTAGTTTTTAATATATCTAAGCTACATATTATGTATCCGGTTTATTTTACTTTTTCAGGGATTAATATAATTACAAACTAAATAGGAATATATTATAATTTCATATTAAAACTATTGTGATTCCTAAAATTTATACTTACTAAAAACACTTGAAATAAGTTTATCCGGCCTCACTAAATTTCTTTTTCTCCAATAAAATTTCAATAATAATGGACTAAAATTAAAATTAAAAATGAGACGCTATATATAACCTTATCAACACAATTTTCAATCCCCCTTATCCTATTTTTTCTTGTTCCCTCTTCTTTCACTCCCTTCTCCTCAATTCCTCTTTAGCTCTGCTACAATGGCTTCCACATTATCCACAATTACCCTTCGTTCTCCCTCTCCTATTTCTCCAGCAACCGCAAGCTCCACGTACGCATCAATTTCCTTCCCTACCAAAACCCTAGAACTCCCCATTGGCTCTCCCAAACTCCACCACCGCCGAGCCACTTTCGTCCGCCCTCTCGCCGCCGTCGAAGCACCGGAGAAGGTAGTACAGCTCGGAGATGAAATCTCCACTCTAACTCTCGCTGATGCGCAGAAACTCGTTGAGTACCTTCAGGATAAGCTTGGTGTTTCGGCCGCATCCTTCGCTCCTGCTGCGGTCGTCGCCGCTCCTGGTGGCGCAGCCGCAGATGCTCCAGCTGTGGTTGAAGAGAAGACGGAATTTGACGTAGTCATCGATGAAGTGCCGAGTAATGCTAGAATTGCGACTATTAAGGCTGTTAGGGCTTTAACAAGTTTGGCTTTGAAAGAAGCTAAGGAATTGATTGAAGGATTGCCTAAGAAATTTAAGGAGGGTGTTTCCAAGGATGAGGCTGAAGATGCTAAGAAACAGCTAGAAGAAGCTGGTGCTAAAGTTTCTATTGCTTAAATGAGTTTACGGTAAATGTTCATTCTTATTTGGTTTTGATTATCTGGGCAAATTACTGTAAGTTTTTTGTGTTTTTGTAAGAGAATTCAGTTGTTAGATAGTTGTACCCAATTTTCTAAAATCAAGATTATTCACCCCTTTTTGCTTATGGTTCTGCATCATTTTGTGATGGTATCGTATGTTTCAGTTTCTTTTGATGCAAAACTAGTATTTAAGACATGGCTAGGTGATTGTGCTGGTAAAAGTAAGTATGTACTCAATGAAATAGTCAATGTGCACGCTAGTCTGCTCAAAGTAGCACTAGGCTAGTAACTTATATCACTTGTGTCGATTTCCTCAAGTTTGTATGAGTTGTAATAGTAGTTGCAAAATCTCTTGTCCCAAATTGACTTAAGCCATCCCTTTGCCATCTTAGAACACCTCCAACAGAGGGCAAATAATCAATTTTGAATGAATTTGTTGGAGAACGCCCTCAGCCTCCCTTGCATTACACACAAAAGCTACTTCTTTGGCTATGTAATCACAGTGTCTACTCTTGGTTTCAAATGTCGTCTGGTTTCTCTCCATCCACAGAGCATGAATGCTTTTAGCATGTAATAATCTGTTTAGTTTAGCACTTTGATACTTGCTTTTGGAGTTCTTGATTGCTCAATCTAAGTGCTGCAAACATTGTGTTAGCAATGAAATCTGGTCTATTGATCCAAGATAAGAGCCTCTTCCAAGAAGGCTCTAGCAAATTACAGAAGATAAAGATGTTCTCTATTTTTCAAGTGTGTTTGACAGAATTTATACATTGTATCCACATACAATCTCCATTTAGACAACCTATCTGTAGTAGGTAGCCTGTGTTTCAGAACTAAATTAACATGTTTGGCAACACATTAGGATGTGCTTTCCTTGTATTTATGAGATTATTGAAAAAAAAGGGACCAGT